ATATATATGTACATGTGTATATAATTGTAAGAGATATAGAAACAAGACAAGAATCTTTCATTACCATCACCTTTCATTATATCATATTGTTAAATCGAGAATGCTTCCGAACGAGGTCTTTCTTACTGCACCAATATAAAACAAATATCAAGCATTTTTTAATATTGTTTACATAATTCATTACTTATTTAATATTTATTAATATTTAGGCAAATATTTTCTAATTAAGCAAAAAGAAATATATTCTTGTTAGTAAATTATGATAATAAAAATTCTTTAAAAGTTTTAAATTAAATAATTTAATCGTACTATGAATAATGTAATTATTATATTAAATTAATTTGATCCTAATAAATGAACAACATTATAATTAATGTTGAAAACAGTAAATTAATAAATGTTATAAATTAATTTCTTTCCTCATTATACAAGTCTCATTATAAATATTAAAGTTGTAAATGGTATGATGTAAATGGTTTTTTTTTCTGATTATGAATATATAAAATGTATGTATACATATTTAAGTGAATTATTCATAACAAATTAAATGTTAAAAACTATCTTATTAATATATACTTCTGCTAAAAATAAACAATCTATTTTTATGATTGTTAAATAAATAAATATAATTAATTCACTCTGTGTTTCAGAAAATGCAATTTCTCACGTGTAGGAGAAACAATAATACACATATCTATTAGATGTTGCTTAAAAGTTGGTTTACAAATAAAAATTGAACAATGTTTTTCTGCAGATTTATTGATTAGAACTAGACAATGAAAAAAACGATATACAATCTCGGATATCTTAATTAAATATGGATATGAGATAAAAATGCAGAGGTAGTGATATGTACATATATGATACATACTATAATATAAATACTATAATATAAACAAATTTATGTGATCGCTAAGTTCTTAAAAATATTAAGTTTGTTGAAAAATAATTCTCATCTGTCATATAATTATTTAAAATGTTTTGTATCTACGGTAAATAATTAAATATTAAAATCTCTAGACATGAATCTTTCTTTAAACTCTGTCGTAAAGCAATCACGATTGAATATCTTGATGATAACAGTACATAACAAAATTTCGATATCAAATTAAAAATACATTGTTTATATTTTATTTAATGTATTTTGTGTGACAAATAAGAGACTTTAAAAAAAATTCTTAAATTATGATAAATCTTAAAACTTCTAGATATTAACCTTTCCTCGAATTCTATTTTAAACTTAAGCAATATCGTTGTTGAAATACTTTGAGAAAAAAAAAAAATATATATATATATATGTATGTATATATATATATATATATATACAAAAACACATTGCATTAACAGAATTTCGATATCGAAT